GAGAGAGAGAGAGAGAGAGAGAGAGAGAGAGAGAGAGAGAGAGAGAGAGAGACGGAAGCAATATTGTGAACACACGGTTTGTCTTCAATATCAGTATAATATCACAACACGGAAGGTGATCTTACCTCGTTAGGGGAAATCTTTAGTCAGCTGTGAGGTCTATATGAGCCTCGTCTCTCGAACTGCGCCCAGACAGTTTCCAGGGTTGTGTGTTTGCAGCAGCTGTCTTCCTCTTACTTACGAATGTGACGTCATGGCACTAAATCGGATCTGACGGATCAAATCTGCTTTCGGGGGGAAATCTATTATGACTACGGCAACAATCCAGGACTGTGTGCACGCACAAGCTGCAAAACTGCTGCAGGAATTGTTGTTCTGTGGATCATTCCCTTGAAAACGACTTCATAACCGCTGTGAGTATTAAATATATCTATGATTCCTCGGTTCTTGTTCTAGTTTCAGTTTTCTTTCGTTTTCACAAACGTCTTCCGTTGTTTGAGAACGTCATTTTTTTTTTGTCATTCCCATCACAGCAAGGATATTTTGTGGTAGAAAAGCCACGCTTGACTCAATCTCTCATCGAACAGGGACACAACACGGCCGACAAAGCACTCCCGTCCACACAGTTCGACTCACGCACACACACGCACACACACGCTCACACACCGCGCGAGTGCGAGCTCCCGACTAAAAATATCGACTTTCCTTGGATTTGCGCGTCTCTCCGTACGATCGTCTGCAGCCCCGGAGTGTGGCACCGCCTCGCAGACGACAGATCGATAATTTGGCGGGAGATGGATTGTTGGGGTTGGGGGGGAGGTGGAGGAGAGAAGCTGGCCCGAGCTGGGAGGAGAAAAATCGGGACGGAATGAGAGAAGGGGAGGAAGGTGGGAATTAGTGCTTAAAGTAGGCATGAGATCGGTGGTAAAGGGTACCTATCACAACTTACAAAAAGTATTAAATTATCGCGCATATTTTTGGTAAATATTCTGAGCCTGCAATAGGTCACAATAAATCGACAGATTGCTAATGAGCAAAATTGAAGGGATGGAAGAGAGAGAGAGAGAGAG